TGCGCTCGCTGGAGTTCCGGTCCAGTAGTGTGCGCACGTTCCAGCACCCGATGCTGAGTGCTTTGCGCGCAGCCATACGGTTGCATTGGTGGGCAATCGTACGCAAGATGGTTGTTGGGCTTTGGAGGTTTGCTTGAAGGACTCCACCCGGAGCCTTTGGCTCAATAGCCTGATCCTCAAGGCAGTGGGGAGCTGATCCAGCTCGGGAATGTGACTGCAGAGACTGATGGAGATCTGCTTGAGGACCGTCACACGCAGCCTTGGAGGTACTGAAACGATTCATATATGTTTTGTGATCGTAGTACCACCTGCGACGCACCTGCGACGCACCTGCGACCACGGCCAGACGCAGATGGGTTTTGGCGGGTTTGCATCAATTTGGCCAGGGGCTGCCTGGTTTGAGGCGGGCAGTAGCAAACCATTGAACACCCTGAGGTGCCCTCCCACCGTCATAGACAATGCGTGGCGCTCGTGCTCTACGCCACTCGATCTGTAAGCTTATAACCCGTAGACCTGTTGTCTCCCATGGCTATTTTTTACCGGAAGAGAGGGCCATTGACCATTTCCTAACCTCCGAAGAGGATGGGCTAGGATACTGGCAGGGCGCCCACACCTGACCGGAGAACGACTCGAGTCCCCAGCCAAAACCGTCGATTAAATATACACTCGAAAGGCATCGGATCTAGCACATGGTCCGTTCACTAACTCATGCGGATTTGGTGTCCTGGATCTTAGCAGGTAGAAGGGCGAAACCCAACTCCCACCCAGCGGTCGCCACGAGGAGGCGTCCAGGACATGAGCCACTGGCGCAGCAATAGCAGCAGTGGATAGATCATCTGTCAGGATCTAGCCACAACCTGCCTTAGCGCAACATAGGCTCTCCCACCAATATATATATATATATATATATATATATATCTTTTTACGCTGAATAAATTTCATTCCACTTTATTTGGTTTGTTCTGCCTACCTGAATAATCTTCTATTAACTGGACACGTTACTTACGCTGACTGCGTTTACCCTCGGTAACTCTTTTTGCGTTTGTAGCATTTTTAAGCAACTTGTGGACATATTTTACTTATCGCGGGTTCGTTACTAACCAACTTACTTCATATGCTAATTTAGCGAAGAATTATGCCACCGTATCTGTATGCATTATTTGATTTATTTTATTTCATCTTGTCGTTTCAAATGAATGGATGTTGCTTGATATCCCCGGTGTGGCTGCGCTTGATGTGCTTGTTCATAAGGTGCCTACCTGTCTATTACCCACTACCTCCTTCATACTGGCTCCAGGAGACAGTTGGTCGTTGCTGGAGGGGACGGGGTGCACGGTTCTTGTGGCCGAGCCAGGCTCGAACAGCGATTCCATGCACTTAGTGTGCAGCGGACTACGGTCCAGCCACTGCCTTGTGTGTGCGCTTGATTCCCAAATACAGCGTGCTTGCTTTTGCCTGTGAAGGAGTGTCGGCCGGCTCCGTTGATGAAACGTGGTTCCTCTCCGCATGCCTCCCGGTCTTATTGCTTCTGGTTTACACTGGATATGGAGTGTGTGCTTGGAGCTGTGGGTGGTGCAGCGCAAGCCACCCATGGTCCTTCTGTAGGCGCAGGCGTCCTGTGGCTGGCCACAGTGACGGGCGAATCCGAAACCGGATTCCGCCGGCCGTATATACTTGCTACTGCGCCTTCCATAGGGCAAACACAGAACGCCTGCGCCTACAGAGTGACCACAAATGGCTTGCGCCGCACGAACTACAGTTCTGTCTATACACCTCATATTCAGTATAAACTCGAAGGAATAAAACGCGAAAAGCATGTGTGGGTACCACGTTTTATCAGCGGAGCCAACCCACAATCCTTCAACATGCACAGCGGTAACATTCCAAATAGTCTAGTTGGGGAATCCTGCGTACAAGACCTACACAAGGCAGTGGCTGGGCCGTAGCCCTTTTCACACTGGATGCATTATGCCACTTTTTGAGCCTAGCAAGGTCAAAATGACTGTGCACCCTATCTCATCCAGCAACGGCCAACTGTCTCCTGGAACCAATATAAACGAAGTGATGAGTACTAGACATGTGAGCGCTTTGTCAACATTCACATCAAGCACAGCCACACCGGGGATAAAAATATACAGCCAATCCCTGAAATGCAAGCAACTCAACATGCAGGCACACGTACAGACCAATTGCAACGATGATGCAGCACACGTACCGCATCAACCGTCTTATTGGCCTTGGTCAGTAAATTGAACTGAAGTAGCGAACTTACCAAGCGCTGCGCTGATTATAATTCTCTTTAGCTTACTCGCCTTCTCCTAGATGTTGCCCCAACGTGTCGACGCTGGTGGCTTACTAAGCCTACTTCACTGGGTCACTCGCGACCGCATGTGCTACAGCACAATACGCTCGACGTTGATCGGATATCCACCATCGGCGCCTGTCGCTTCCTCAACCGATGTTTCTTTTCCGCATGCTCTAGTGATTTCTCAAGTAATTGGGCAACCACCCTCTTGTTATGCTCTCACCATTAACGCCGATCCACTGGCTTCGCTTCCTAACACCTGAACTCAACATAACTTGGTGATAAACTCACCACAATCATGGTAACGTAACTCGTTTTTCTTCCTGTCGCTTTCCAGCACGCGGTTGGCCATAAAGCAGCTGTTTCAGTATCCGGGTCGAATCCATCCGGCCAACATGCCCGAACCACCTCAGCTGCCTCTGCAGAACTACGTAGTCCACTGTATACATGCCACTGCGTCGGAGCACCTCCGTGTCTGCAACTCGATCACTCCAGCTAATGCGCATAATACAACGCAGATACTGTTGATAGAAGCGCTCCAGATAACGGACGTCTCTCCGATAAAGCGTCCAGTTTTCGCTACCGCATAGAACGGACACTATCCTACGTTGCACACCATCAGCTTCGTCCCAACAGTGAGCTGGTGGTTGTTCCACGCACTTTTCTTGTTTGCCAGATACAGTAGCAGCCTTCGACGTGCGCATGCGCGGCTCGCTCCTCAGCTGCAGGTCGGTCAACATTGCTTTGCCTAGATAGCATTCTCGAAGATGATTCTAAAACGTCAGAATCAATGTGGATTTGTGTCAGATCCGTCGATTCCACTTCTGAAAAAATCGCATAGTTTTGCTTGTGTTAATGGTTACTCCGAATTTTGTCGCCGTCGAAGCGACAGCAGTCGTCATATCTCGCTACTCATCTGTGATGTGCATGCACTCTTCGGCAAACAGCAACATACGGATGGTTGTCTTACCATGGGTTCTCGCCCCGAAACGACGGATGTTCAGCAACACATCATCAGTACGGTGCTCCACACGGACACCATAATCACAAGCAGCCTCAAAAGTATAAGACATCATTGCATGATGGTAAACATTTAATAGAGCATGGCTAAGACAGCCTTGCTGCACTCGAGAGACAACAGCAAGGTCATTCGAGCTTTGTCCAATCCTCCGCACCGTCGCCCGCATACCACTGTGCAGAAATTCAATTAAACTTATAAACTTACTTTCGGGACGAAAACCCGAGTATGTGAAACAGCCACCCGGTGTTGTTGTTGTTTACCGACGACTGCATGCACGTCACAAATCACTAACGACGTATGACGACTGCTGCCGCTTCAGATTAACCATCAACACAAGCAAGACTGTCTTTTTCAGCGGTCTTCCGGAATGGGATCAGGGTAGCTTATGACGTCTTGAGGACCACCTCAAAATTTCGCAACGTTGGGAGCATACTGTCAACGGGTCCACAAATGACAAGTAAGCTTCTCGTCCGCGTCGAAGGCGACTGTTGCATTTAAAAACCTGAAACACCGAGTGTGAAAGAATCGTCGGTTGACCGTTGGGATGAAGCCGACGGTATACAAGTCGACGGTGCTGTCGGTTCTGCACGACATTGAAACATGGACGCTATACCGAAAGGACATCCATTGTTTGGTGCCCTTTCATCAACAGTGCCTGCGCCGGATTCTACGAAACGGTTGGTGTGACAGTTACAGACACCGAAGCGCTTCGCCGAAGTGGCGTGTATGCAATGGAATGTGTATTTCTGCCGCGGCATCTGGGGTGGATCTAGCATATCAGACGCATGGTTTCAACGGGAATACCGAAGCAGCTCTTATCTGTGGACAACTTAGTGCAGAGGAACGACACTTGGGAAAACCGAAGTTGCCTTACCAGCACATGATCAAGATGAGCTCATCATGCAGTAGCGTTGGTTTTAGGTGTTGGGTAGCATTGGCACTGGATCGTTGACAATGGCGTGACCACATCAAGAATGGGGTTACGCAAGTGGACGAGAAGATATTACTGCATCAGGAAGGAAAACGCCGGTAACAGAAGCGACAGGTACCGATGGATTCTAGTTCATGGACATCAAGCGCATGGTGCTGTAGCACATGCGATCTTGATGCCTCAGCCAAGCCGGATTGGTCAGTCCTCAACTTGACCACGACAGACCAAAATCCCTTGGCCACGAGTAAGTCGGATGGGTAAGTGTCAGTTTTTGGTACGCGTTGGTTTATCTGTCTTCTTATTTAATGGTCTTGGGTTTAGCATCCCTGGTCGTTAACGTATCTTTTAGACTCGATTCATTCTCCGAGCCGTCGGTGCTGTTGCATTTGTTCCATTGGTCAAGTACCCCCGCTCCTTTCTATATCTCTACGTTTTTCATCCGATTCCCCCCACTTTTCGCCTTCATGTACCGCTACGCCTTTGGTGTCATTTAATTATATCGAGCATCTGTGCTCGGTTCATGTTTGAGCTGGTCATGGTTGCGTATTTGCCTGAGCCCTTCCGTAACCCCTTTTATTGCCACCATTCATATGTATCCTTGCATCACTTAATCGTTTAGCTGAACCATTTGCTTTCTCTTACAATACGTTGACCAATACTCAATGTTAGGTGACTGGTTTCGATCCTAAACATCTCGACGAACAGTTGTTACCTTGCTCTATTCATCTGTCGTTTTTGTGCATAGGATCACGCCGTCTCTCAGCGCATGCCATCCAATTCTGTTGGCACTCTGTTCGTTCAGACGCGGACTGTACCAACTAGCAATTCAGCAACCGGCCCCAACCACGTTGCTTCTCAGCCAAGCCCTTTCAAGCCTCCATCGGCTGGTTCACGGGCACAACTTCCGCACACAACGCGACATTCGTATCGTCCCGGCACTGAGACTCCAGAGCATCGCACATATTCCGTCACCTTGGCATCCTCCATGTCCAGTGTCCAGACACTACCAAGTAAATGACTCCACATTCGCATTATCCCTGCCATCCGCGGTTTCAGTTTCCAACACTGCTTTTCGCTTGCTTTAAAGAATCGCGGTACTTTCGATACACATTAAGATTCTAGTCAAGAGCATTATTGTGATCACTGATTGTCACAATGTGCCTCTTACGAGCTGCCTGCCACTTCATCCACTCTTTCGTTCCCTACCTGTGCTCTGTATTTGAAGCCTGGAACTTATCTCATTTAACTGGATACATGAGCTATATGGTTACTTCCCATAATTCTTCCTTAGTTGTGAGGTTGACTTTTCGGTAGACCGCTCCTACCTCACTTTCCTGCACATTGAATATGCAACGAGCGTCGCCTTGGATGTTGGCGATTTGATCCAGAGTGGTTTTCGGGGGATAAGCACCAGGTAGAGTGCTTCGGCAATTCGTGTTTAAGCGCAGTACCGCCGATGTGAGAACTGTGGGTTGAAGAGATTTGATCCGCCTGATCAGCACTGTCAGTGCGACGAGTATCACCCTCGAGGTCTCCCATACGATGTTTTGATTCTACCATGTGTCTGTATTTCTGATTATTTGAATTAGTGGATGCTAAACGGCCACTTTTCATGATGTCCTGTTGAGTTTCGCAATATGAGGACAATGAACACCGATTAATCAGTTGGTCCTCGTTCTGACTGGTTTGGTTCGGTGCGCGCGATGCTGTTAACTTTGATACTATTTAATAGTTAACATTGGAAACATTGTCAGTGTGTCCATTATCGGTTTAATCGTGGGCTTGTACTTGGAGTTGTGTTGCGATGCATTTCCTGCATTCGATACGTGGTAACCGCATGAAGCTGCGGATTGCTAATGTGTGACATCTGTTTGATAATCTGGTGTCATTTATTCACTCAACGTTCATCCACTTGTAGGTATCTCCACTCCGAACCGGCTACACGGCACAAGTACCATTGTTTTACCCTCTACTGATCCGCAACGCGTATTCGGTGGGGCACATCTTTTCAGCCATCCTTCCAAGACCAATGTTTCGACGAGTTTGTCGTCGTCTGTTCCGGCGTTGGCCAGCAATGCGACGATGGATTCGCCATCGACTCCCTGTACTCCTGCCATCAGACGATTGGTTTGCCCAGCGAATAGCTTATTACCGTCGTCCCCTCCCTACTCTTCGAACAACGCTTTCAATTCTGGCAGCCGTTTCAGCGTTGGCGGCACTGAATCTCACGATCATCGGCCCTATTCCGTCTCCCTTGCCTCTTCTGTCTCCATTATCCAAACTACACCGAGTATGTGAAACCGGTTCCTGTTTTCTTCATTTGCGGCCCACATTTTTGCGCTTAGTATTGCCGTTTTCTTTCATTCACTCATCCATTATCAGCCCTGTGTCTTGGTTCAGCTATTGTCGCTGTCCATCCTCTATACCACCTGTTCTGCTCATCTCGTTCCTTGCCCCACAATAACCACCATAAGTCGCAATCCTTTGACTTCGGCTCTTGCTTATTTTTCCGTTTTACTACAATCTTGTGCATCTGAATGTCTGTAAAAATGCTAAATGCTTAGTCGTTGTATTCAATTCATGCAACCATTCTTGCTGTTTCGCGTGCCGCAGCATTTTATGCATTATTATGCTTAAGCGCTTTCCTAGCTGGATTGACACGCTTCCTTTCACTAAAATGCTAGATCTCATTAATCGCAGACAGCTGCTTTCCTCTCCTCAGCCTTTCGATTATTTTTGACGAACCTTCATTTTATCCAATTAACTTAAGGCGCCGTTCGTCGCGAGAAGTGTTTCCTGAAATCCTATTATTTGTGTAGCTCGTTGAAAATTGTTTTCACTGCACTCTTTCGCTTTTTGACGTACCATTACTTTCATGACACTTATGCGGCTTATTTGCTTTCTAGTTCTTTCGTAGCCTCGTTCTCTTTTCATGGCTCTTCCTTTTCTCAACAGGTGTGTTGTAGTTTCGTTACTAATTTGATTTTAACTTTCCGCCTTTATGTGGGATGCACTACGTTTATTGCGGTCCAACGCGTTACTCTCACGAGTCTCCACACTATTTGCAATAGTGGATCCAACACGAGTCAGATAGTCAGACCTCACGGCTATGTATCCATTCATTCACTACCGAACTTGCTATTGTCTTTCCGGCTCCTCTCTTTACGATGCTTTGTTAATGATGAGCTATCCGCCGCTCATTTGCATACGTTTTGGAAACAGCACCAGTGAAAAGGTATCTTACACTGACAGTGGATATCTGTTAAAAACCTCCTTCTGAGCTTCACCTCCTCACTTCACATTGTCTATACAACTTATCCAATAGACAAACACCCAATTTACACCTGCAACTGCGCGGGTAGATCGTGACAGTACTCAACTATTGACGCAAATCACTCTAGTAGGTCGGAATCGGTCGACGTCTCCCGACCCCCTAGCCTATGCGCTTATCTCTCATTACAGATTCACTTACTGGTTCCTCTGAGCCCCACGCCTCCTCGGGTCTACAGAAAGGACAATACTGTGCTCACTAACCGATTAGCGGTGGATGCTTTTGGCACTTTCCCAATCCCCTTCGTTGTTTTCAAGCTCATCTGTCGGTTGTTTGCGGCGCTGCAATCCTTATCGGAAACCTTTATTCCCCATACAACCTCTGAAATATTCCATTTCTCAAAACCGTGGAAAATAATTGCATGCATCGCTGAAGTTATCACTACCTGAGGTCGGTGTTTGTCTTCCAGTTTTCCAACCAACACCAACCGCTATCCGTTTCATGGCTTAGCACCAATATCCAACCAAGACAACCAATCCATTAGATTTCATTATTCCACCGCGACGAGACTGAACCCTAGCATGATTTATGTGCCTCTGTGATTCCTTGAGCCATGATGGGCGGTGATTTTTGCATCTTCAGAGCCACTCATACCAGATACATCAAAGGTTAGAGCTAGATAAACAGTCTCCTGCCCCCCCTCCAGATTGGGGTTTGGAGTGAGGGTGGCTCCCTACTCCATAAAACACTCTGAGTAGCCCATTGCCAAAACTTCGCTGCCTTCCGGTCAAGTTTTTAGAATCAGAGACTGGTTAAGAACCCTAATCATTTTTCTCTCTACGCCTGGGCAATCGAACACTTGTTAAGTATACTGCTTAGCCGGGCCAATATCGCTTGTCGGTGTTGTTCTCAACGTTTCGAGTAGCTGCACGAAATCCAGACCGCTTACGCCCCCGGAAGATCCTAGACGCGATTACCCCACTCGCGGGACGAGCGCAATCCCAGAACTGCATCGCCAGACCGAGAATGAGAGAGAAGGCAGTCCTTCGACAAGAGCATTGCTACTGACTCAGCAGAATGGCGAACATGAATTCTACACCTCCGTATTTATAGCACCTTGTTGCCGGGCTGACGACAGTAAAAAGACATTTACAAACGCGAGCATCAATTAATGGGAGTTGTCACCCAGCCACCGTGTTACCGAGGGAATCACGGGTTAATTGCGGCAGGTTAATTATCGCCTGATAAGATAAGGGACGTAATAGAACTAGATAACGATGACATCGAAGAAACATGGTTGTAATTTTCCTCTGTGTGAGTTGCCATACGGAACCAGTGGGACGGGGTCGGCGAAAGGGAAACGGCTCGGCGTGGAACTTCGGTCGACCCATGAGGGCACCACAGCACCTCCCCTTCAAGTCAGACGGTACTGTTTTTGGCGAGGGTTTAGTTGCAGCGTTTTGCGCCTTCTTCTGACACGTCCTCTCCTGCTGCGAGTACAGTTGGGGCTTGACGTTGGTTGAGCAACTTCGACAAGCGTCGGTATTTCGGTTGCGCTTCCAAAAAAGTGTCCAACAGGATGTGTAGCGGCAAACGTATAGTCGGACTGGGTTGCGTATATATCGTTCCGTGTCGCTTTCGGGGTTGCTTGCGGTGGCGTACCAATGTTTCACTATCCACGGCAACGTCATCAAGCATCTCGTCACTTTGGGCCTTCACCTTTGCTTTGTTCCAGCATGGATGTCCACCTTGGTAGTTGCGGGGGTAGGCAGGGGCTCCAACGACGAATCCATTACGACTAGTGAAATCAGTGCGTTGTTTCGGTGCCTCTTCGGTTGGAATGAGCGCTTTGTGCGTGGTATGCAGCTTCCGACCCATTTGTCCTTCGGCGGGAGAATGACCTACTGGAGATGCTGGATTTGGAGTGCTCCTGCAGGAGAGCAGGAATGCCTGGAGACATTCATCCACGGTTCCCTCCCCACGAGCTTTCAAGAGGACTTTCTTGAACGTGTCGACGAAACGCTCCACTTGACCATTGGACTGAGGATGGTATGATGGTGAGCGGAGGTGTTGGATGCCTTGACGACGACAGAAAACTTCGAACATAGCAGACATAAACTATGAACCATTGTCAGACACCGAGACGTCGGGAAGACTATGTGATAGTAGTATCAGATTAGAGTGAGCAGATGGACCAACCGAGTGAGCCAAACAGCCAATGGGAGACAGACGTAACGGATTCGATTACTGGACTCGGCTTGGACGATATTCGTGTGAGTGATTTACCGTTTGTTTAACTGAAGCAAAGGAGGAATCGACTCAGAATGGTCTTTAGTTATGGACTTGAACCTGCAATTTATATCGAGGAGTTTGGGTTTCTCAACATGCTGTAATTTTCGCTTAGCTGTGTCGAATAAACGCTTGTGCCTGAAGGACTGAGTATTGCAACATGGTGTCAGAGAAGACAAAGACGAACCCCACCGGTGGCGCTCTGTTGCTGTTTGGATCACCACCGTCTATTCAGATGCCTGCCCCACTAAACTTGGCGAGTAATTAGCGTCTATGAAAGAGCAAGTGGGAGGATTTCTGCACCTTTGTACATTTGGACGAACAACCGATGTCGGATCGCTTGCCGATGTTTTGACACGCAGCTGGGGATGACGCGCGCCGTGTTCTAGAGATATTGCGCTACGACAAAGGCGAAGATCCCGATAATTTGGAGACGGTCATTGGAAACTTCAGTGGATTTTGTCAGTTCGCGCGACACGGTATACAGGAAGAGCTGGTCTCCGACAATGGGTTCCAGTTTACCAGCGGTGCGTTCCATGCGTTCACAACCAAGTGGTAATTCGTGCACTAGCAAACCAGCCCATATCACAGTCAATCGAACGCAAAGGCGGAGTCGTCGGTGAAGCCTTCAAAGCGACTGTGATCAAAGGCTAGAACAACTGGTGAGGGCCAGTACCTCATGCTACTGGAGAATCGCAACACTCCTTCAACGAATATCGGTTTGAGCCCGGTGCAGCGGCTATACAGCCGAAGGACTAGAACGCAGATGCCGGCATCCGCCACACTTTTGCGCCCAGTTTCGCCACAGCACGAACGATTAAAGAACAATCTGAGACGACGAAAGACCATTCAGAAACGGTACTATGACCGAGGTGTACGGGTACTGCCTGACCTAACAGTGGGAGAGGAAGTGTGAGTTCAACCATCACCCGATAGTCAAGAGCGGTGGAAGAAAATTGTGATGACTGCGAGGGTCGGTGCCAGGTCATTCTAAATAAATGTCGGAGGGAAAACGTTCAGAAGAAATTGAGTGCATTTGAGACGACACCGGAAACAGCAGTGTGGAGTGGCAGCTGGCGTGGGGCAAGGAGACTACGGCCACAGCTACAGCGATGACGACGCGGAGTGGCAAGGTGTACAGGGTGGATAGCAATATGGAGACGCAAGAACACGAGAAAAGGGAGGACGTGATGATAATATGAGATCAGAGTGAGCAGATGGACCAACCGAACGAGCCAAACAGCCAATGGGAGACACGTAACGGATTCGATTACTGGACTAGGCTTGGACGATATTCGTGTGAGTGATTCGCCGTTTGTTTAACTGAAGCAAATGAGGAATCTCATTGACTCAGAGGGTTTTTAGTTATGGACTTGAACCTGCAATTTATATCGAGGAGTTTGGGTTTCTCAACATGCTGTAATTTTCGCTTAGCTGTCTTTGCCTAATAAGCGCTTGTCCCTGCAGAACTGTGTATTGCAACAGACTGTGTTGACTGAAGATCCGCTGTAGGCAAGTTCTGCATCGACCAAAGGTAGAAGTGCGTATGGGACAGGTCTTTTGAGACTGAATACTGGTTGAGCGCCGGTTGCAAGTTGTAAAACAACTCGATTGCGTGTACAGAGTCCAAGGCCATCCTGGAACACTGATGCAAACTGTCTGGTGATATCGTCGGATTGGTCCGTTGGTTTCGCTGTCCACTGATGTGCTGCACCTGGGCGGCCTACACG